AAGTGTTAGCTTCCAGTGATCTGATTGGTTACAGGTTTCATCACTAAGTGACAACAATTAGACAACTGTTGGAAAGTCAGGGAATACTGGATAGTCGTTTCGTCTTAGTGTAGGAATCTTCATCAGTCAGCAGAAATCTCAAACCCCCTACCAGTTTCCAGTTAAATCACGAACAGTTGAAGAATTATCATCCTAAACTAGGATGAAACATTTGTCCAGTACTCCTTGGTCTTCAATTGTTCTCTCCAGTTGGTGATACTCTATGGTCAAACTTGAAATCTCTCTACTCATATACTCAAGGAGTTATTAACACTAGACTTTTGTTAGACAGTACTATTCTTCCAGTAATTTTGATCTTTTATCTTCTTTTTCCCTCGTGTTTACATCATCACTTCGATCTGGCTATGTTTGATTGGTATCTAACTACTCATTTCAATACATCAGTAGTATATAATGTCATGTATTTATTTCCTATTTAATTACTGTTTATGGTTTTGAGCGGATAACATTACATGCAATCTGGGTGTAATTTAGGTTCCCGAAGGTAACTTTGCTAGACTGCCGCGTTGAACTGATGTAATTAGCAAATTATGACTTCTGTTCAATGCACTACCAGTTCAACACTTAGTTGGCTCTCTGTCGAAGCTTAGTCTGAGCCGCGGACATCGCTGATGAGCCTGCGGTAACCGAGCGAACCGCTTGTCACGCGTGCTTACATAGCTGGGAACCGGCTGTTTAGTAAGGCACAACTTTTTGATGTACATTTTGTTTAACTACTTATATTATTATTCAGTAGTATGTATAAATTAATGGCAATTTATCGTATCAAGTAGATCCCCTCGTCTGGGAACCAGGTACACTAACTAACATAATGCGTCTGGTATTTTGTGTGGTACAGACTGAATTCTGTTGGTCAAGTGCATGCAATGTAGCTATCATGTCTAGGTAGCTCGCCATCATGGTGATTGCTGAATTGTTGTTAGACGATTAGAGACAATTAATAGAAAGATAGGCAAGTTTGTCTACTATCGCCAATGATTTTCCTGATTACAGTAGATTCGATAATGTGACAGACAGCGGGTAATCGGAACACAGGCATAAAATGGACTCACACAAAAACAGACTTGGAGGATCTGAACTTCACCGATGTCATATATATGTCTGATTTCACACAAACTGGAAGATATGCAAGTGAAAATCAACAAGCTGGCAGATGAAGCATCAAAGATACTAGGGACTTCAGGTAAAGATAGAGAAAACAGAGGTGATGAAGATTCCTGACCAACAGCGACAGCCACAGCAACAACAACAGACAACAATCAGCCTGCATAAATAGGAGGAACTTGAAAGAAACAACCTCCTTCACCTACCTACCTACCTAGCTGGGAAGCATCGTTTCAACTACACGCCGACGGAACTGACAACGATATCAAAGCAGCGAGGATCGGAAAAGCAAGACAGGCTTTCATTACTCTCACCAAGTCTGTGTGGAGATCAACAGCCCTACTCAGCATCAAAATGAGAATAAGATCCGGATTTTCAACTCCAGTGTGAAGTCAGTGCTACTCACAATACGGATCAGAGACTTGGCCAGTGCGTCATAAAGAGCATCTCAAAGAAACTTCAGACCTTCATTAACAGTTGTCTTCGCTCAATACTGCTGAAGACCAGGTGGCCAGTCAGAAACGATCAGCAACAGAAAGAGATCTCTGGGAATGAGCGAACCAACACAGCAGGAACCGATTGTGAAACAAATAGGCAGGAAGAAATGGAGATGGATTAGTTGGCCATACTCTGAGGAAACCATCAAGTGACATGACTAGAGAAGCCATTGCTTTAGTGGAACCCGAAAGGGAAATGGTGAATTGGTCGTCAGTGCAAGGTTAACTTGGAGGAGGTGGTGTGAAAAGGAGACGAAAACATGTGGGCAGACTTGGAGCGGGGTGAAAACGTTGGCAGAAAACCGAACGCAACGGAGACGTTTGGCTGAAGCCATATGTTCTTCCAGGAATTAAAGGATAAAATAATAATGATATAATTATAATAACAGTAGGAAGTCTTGAATCTAGGTATATCTGAAAACTTCAAGGAAGTCATGTCTCTTCTGAGATTCGAAATCTGGGGGTCACTCATTGCCTGTTATCAGATACGGATATAACCACTGAGGTATTCGTGTCCTCCTGTACGACTGTAGTGCATGTCATGTGGCTAGTCCAAGGCTTCCTGTGTTTGATTACCTCGAACTATCTAACATCAAATAGTTTTTGGTATTGGAAAATGGGATAGACGTTTATCGTGTTTCTTACTGATCAGTTGAATGTCTCGACTTCCTAAAGCTCATACTGCGACTCACTAGGTCATAACTCATAGAAGGCCACGGAGCCGTGTAAGGACTTATGAGGAATTGTCATCTGAATTGATAACAACCAGTGGTGTCAGACAGGGATGTCCACTTTCCCCATTTCTGTTTAACTTCATCATAGATATGCTGATGGAAGTATCCTTAACTGAACGTAATGACTTAGGAATCGACTTGCTACCAGGGAATAATCTAATGGACTTAGAATATGCAGATGACATAGTCCTGTTAGGGGAGGATGATGACAAAATGCAGAGTCTTCTGAACACCTTGAGCAGCAATCTTCGTATGTTTGGCATGCGATTCGCCTCTGTAAAGATGATGTAAGATGCTGCTACAGGACTGGACCACGTCAACCCCTAACTTAGTGATAGGGAGTGAAGTGATAGAACATGTTGACCACTTCACCTATTTGGGAAGTTGTATTAGCACCAACGGACTGATTGGCGATGAAATCTCAGCACGGATCCGAAAAGCTCGAGCTGCTTTCGCTGACTTACACCATCTCTGGCGTAGGCGTGACATCCGGCCATCAACCAAGGGACGTGTGTACTGCTCATCAGTTCGCTCCGTCCTTCTCTATGGCTCTGAAACATGGCCAATACGCGTTGAAGACATGAAAAGGTTGACTGCTTTCGATCATAGATGTCTGCGATCTCTGTCTCACGTTAGGTGGTTTCACAAGATAAGTAATGTTGACGTTAGGCGTAGAGTGTTGGGCAAACAGGGAAAATCAATCGACGAGGCTATAAAGTTACATAGATTGAGATGGCTAGGTCAGGTGGTGCGCATGCCTAACCATCGCCTCCCCCGCCTGACGGGCATTACTAGCTGATATAGGTGTAGGTTGGAAAAGAGCCAGTGGTGGCCAAACAAAAACATGGCCTCATCAATCCATGAAATCCTTGACAGTTAAATTGAGTCGGTCAGGTAGGGAGATGCAGACTTCCGAGTTGGGGCCCTCGGGACTCTAGGAATCAATCCAATGGCTGGAGACAATAGGTGACATGGCTCAAAATCGTTGTCAATGGTCAGCTCAGATGTATTCAGTCTATGTAATCTTTCATATTTCTTTCTATTATTACCCATTCTGTTTCACTCGTATACTTGTCAAACTCTATTGATTCTCTCCACTCATCTTCTTGTCTACCTCTGTGTGGTATTTGGAACGTGGCAACTCGAACTGGTGCACTTCGGTGCCAAGTTCTATGTTGAATCCAGACAAAGAGACATAGAAGGCCTAAACAGCCAGAGGTAGCTATCATGGAGGCCAGTTGGTAAAATGCGGACCACATGTATCGTGATTAGAATAGTTTTTTGGTTTCCGAAAAATGATTTCAGTGTATTTTCACACTGAACACTGTGTAATTTAAATTTAGTCTTTAGCTGATAAACTAATCGTGATGCTGATGACACAGTTGGTTCACGAGCTGACATTAGCGTAGTAAAGCCATTGGAAACTAGGATGTACTGGACAGTCAGCTGTTTCGTCCTAGTTTGAGACTCTTCAATAACGCGCATCCATTGGGGTTCGAACCTAGGACTTCCTCACTACAAGGTAAGCTCGTAGATCATTTAGACACTGGAACCCGATCCAATGACCAGCCCATGAATTCCAAATTCTAACAAATTCGTGTAGTGCTGAGTATCTCGGCCTGTCATTTGGAAGACCCGGGTTCGATTCACGGTTGGTGAGGTAGCCTTTGTGCGTTGGTGGCTTGGCGGTAGGAATGCTTGCCGACTACTTATGTGAATCGGGATTCGACCCCCAGCCACGGACGCACTCCTTTACTTCTTTAAGCCGATAATAAGACCGGTGAAGAGGGAAGATTGAGTATGTGGCTAGGCAGCCCCCTATCTCGTAAAAGTAAACAAAGCTTTAGCTTTAAGTCTTATGTTCCACTGGGAACATTAAGGAATAAAATAAGAACGAATTTGGGGTTTTACCGCGATCGCAAGCCAATGTCATCATCGAGTACTTATTCGCTTGCCTAACTTGGTGAACCCCTCTGGTTCTGTTTTCTCACTAGAACTCGAGATAACCACAGGGTCATAACTTCAAATCCTAGTGTGTGTGTGTGTCTGCTGCTGAAGAGTCGAAGACTGGGACGAAGTAGCTGTCCAGTACACCTTGGTAGTTTCCAATGGTTCTCTAACTGATATTAATCCATGATTAAACTTGAACCAAAATGCGTCGGTGGTATATAGCGGTTAAGTTGCTAGCCGACCATGCACATGGTCCGTGGTTCGATTCCCGATCGACGCATTCCTTTTCCTCGCTAAGCCAGAAAAAAAATGCTGGTCAAAGAGGGAAGGTTGGGCATAAGGCTAGCAACCTCATCCTGTAAAATAAACACTGCTACAGAAACTTCGCGCCACTAGCTTGAAGCCCTATGAAGGAAAATAAAATTAAAACTTGAACCAACAAAACTCTGTGGACTAACGCCTAATAATTTCTAACGTTTTCTATTATTTATCTACAATTTGTTGTCCTCATTTTTACCATATTGTGACTCCCTCTTCTATTGTGTTGTGTTTCATTTGGCTTCATTTCTCCTCTACAGATTAATTTTGTCATCTATCGACATTATTATTCGTGTTAGTTATCACGAGACTGTTCAGTAATCAGGGAATAGAGGCTATGTCACAGTCAACATTGATACCGCCATCATCCTCAGCCTCCACAGCATCACAAGCCTCATTATTATTATTATCAGTGCCATCATCTGTGTCGTCAACCTCCAACTTCGCTTCGTCATTATCATTATCAACGTCTTGTTGTCGCCGAATCTATGGATTTGTACAGTGTGTTAGTCAAAAATTCGCTATAAAGTCAAAATATCATGTTTTGATTAAGATTACACCGTGTGCAGATTGTTTTTGTAACCCTGTGTATAATATTTTAGTCCAATGGGATTGTAATTCTACTACAGTAACAGCTGAAGAGGAATGTTTAAAATTTATACGTACATGTCGTTTAAGACGATGGGTGTGTATATATCAACTTAAAGAGAGTAGAATATACCATAAAGAAGTGAGTTGTACCATTCTATTATCATTATTATTATTATTATTAATATCATTATTATTTCCTTTATTCCTAAAGGAACATAGGGTTTTAGCCGCGCGTCTCCATTGTGTTCGGTTCTCTGCTAGAGTTTCCACCTCGCTTCAGGTCTTCCCACATGCTGTCATCTACTCTTCACATGACCTTCCTCATGTCACCCCACCCGTCGTACTGACGACCGACTCACCGCTTCCTATTCGGGTTCATTTCGAGGACTTATCCAGTGAGATGTCATTTGCTGGTTTCTCAGAGTATGGCCAGCCAATTCATCTCCATTTCTTCCTGCCTATTTGTTGCCCGAACGGTTTCTGCTGGATCGGTTCGCTCCCAGAGATACCTCAGTATTGCTGATCTTTTCTGGCTGGCCATCTGATCTTGAGTATTGAGCGAAGACAGAACTGTCGATGAAGGTCTGTAGTTTGTTTGAAGTGCTCTTTATGAAGCGCTAGCCAAGTCTCTGATCCGTACAGTGAATAGCACTGACTGACTTCACATTGGAGTTGAAAATCCGGATCTTATTCTCATTTTGATGCTGAGTAGGGCTGTTGATCTCCACACAGACTTGGTGAGAGTAATGAAAGCCTGTCTTGCTTTTCCGATCCTCGCTGCTTTGATATCGTTGTCAGTTCCGTCGGCGTGTAGTTGAAACGATGCTTCCCAGCTAGGTAGGTAGGTAGGTGAAGGAGGTTGTTTCTTTCAAGTTCCTCCTATTTATGCAGGCTGATTGTTGTCTGTTGTTGTTGCTGTGGCTGTCGCTGTTGGTCAGGAATCTTCATCACCTCTGTTTTCTCTATCTTTACCTGAAGTCCCTAGTATCTTTGATGCTTCATCTGCCAGCTTGTTGATTTTCACTTGCATATCTTCCAGTTTGTGTGAAATCAGACATATATATGACATCGGTGAAGTTCAGATCCTCCAAGTCTGTTTTTGTGTGAGTCCATTTTATGCCTGTGTTCCGATTACCCGCTGTCTGTCACATTATCGAATCTACTGTAATCAGGAAAATCATTGGAGATAGTAGACAGTCAGCCAGCCAATTGTCTTACTCCCATCTTCACTTTGAAGGATTCCGTAAGTTTCCCGTCGTATAACAGTTGGGTGAAATATATAATTGCCGACGGCACCCCGTAGCAGCGAAGTGGTTGCTAAATCACCTTTCTATCGACACTGTCGAAGGCCTTTTCAAAGTCGATGAAGTTGAGATTAATTATTGTGATTATTTATTATTAAAAATTAATATTATTTAGTTTGCACTTTCACCCGTTGGCTGACTGGATTGAAGTACTCAGCCTCTGTGTGTGTGTGTGTGTTGACATGCCGGTTCCCCTTGTACGGTGATGCTTCAACAGTGTGTAACGACTTGATCTGAAACATTTTGGTGCTTGGGACCTGGTAACAGTGGTATCCAGACAGGATAATGTGCATTTTGTCTAGTCTTTATACTAATATACCAATCAATATGGCAGCCGTAGAAACTGTTCGAAAAGAGAACTAACTGAAGATCTTCAACTTATTCGTAGGACGAAGCTGCTTATTCAGGAGGAAATTATTTTAGGAATTCAGTTATGCTGCCTCACATGTACTATCTTTAAATTCCAAGGTAAAATATATAGACAAACAGTAGGTGTAGGAATAGGACGGATGGCCACCAATATCCCCTATCGTTGGAGATATATTTATGGACAACTGGGAAAGTAATGCTCTTAATACGTTTAATGCTGCTCCAAAAATATGGTGGAGATATGTGGATGACACTTCCACTCGCAGTGTTCGAAACAGAACACATCTCTAGCTTCCTGACACACATAAACTCACTAGTACAGGGAATAAAATTCACATTTGAATCAGAAAATGAACAAGGAGAATTAGCTACCATGTTAGATTGTAAAATAAAACGAATAGAAGAAGGTAAACTACACACTTGTGTGTACAGAAAACCAACTCATTCTAATAGATACTTAGACTTAAATTCATCTCATCCGTTCGTTATCTGACTGCAAAGTTTGAATAACTTTAACTCCTTACTCTTCTGCTTTCCTCTTTTTATTTTTCTAGAATCGTGAAAAAAAGATATGGCTATTTATTCCGAATCAAAGTTATGTAGAAGTATGCCCAACAACACCAGAAATGACTATTAATCATATGTCGTGTTCTCCATTTCCAGTATGCCTTACATCACCTATTGGGTTGATTACATCCATACATTTATACCTTCTCCACATACATAATAATGGAATGTTAATGTTGTTCAAAGATACCACGACTACTACTACTACTAATACTATTGGTAGTAGTAATTATTCCTCCTATGAAATATATTATTTACTATTGAATATTGAAAAATTTTTGTTTCAATCAAATTGTGAGCTGATAACACTGCTAGCAATGGTAGCAAAAAAAAACAACAACTATTCAAATTTTAAATGTTTGGTGTTATTTTATTGGTTATAAAGATGTGAAAATGAAGCAGGTGAGACGACAAGCAACGGAAGGCGACGTGGGAACAGGACGAGGAGGAGACTGTACGCTATTCTTATTCCTGGAATTTATTCATCATCAATAATTGATAAATCAAATCAGTTTTCAATTGAAACATATTTCCCAATCGACACGAACTTACAAACGCCAGTCTGCAAAGGTGAATGTTGCCAATTGGCGAATAAACAATTCGATAGAAAAAAGCTTTCATTATTATTACATAATTTACAATACATACATGATATATCAATAGAATGCCAAGCAACTGGTTTGAAAAATGAAACATTGCTTTCTAAGGTGTGTTTTTGGTTTTTACAAAAAAGTATTATTTATGGTTTTGAATTCTAGAAGCAGTTGTGTTAGGAGGGACAACAAGTTGACTTTGTTCGCCCCTAAGTTCATAATTTATGCGTACACTTGATATGATAACCGAGGTAATGCAAAATGCCTCGGACTAGAGTTCTATCTTCTGACCTTACTTGGTCATCTCATATCCAAACGATTTCTAAGAAAGTGTTTCGTCTAACCTACTACTGCATTGACAAACTCACACTAACTGGAATCACTCAACCTCCTCTGCTTTCACAATTTGTCAACTCTCGTATCCTACCTATTCTACTTTACTGCTCCTCGTTAGTCTTTCCTGGGTTACTGGAAAAGGACTATACCATCCTGAGAAGGATGTTGAAGGTAGTTAGTAGAACTAGTGGTGTAAAACTCAGTCAGCTCGTCACTACATTAGTGGATAAGCATCCGAATACATGCGAGAAATGGACTAAAACCATACTCTCTGACCCCCAACATTCCCTCTCTCCTTGCATCTCATCAGGTAGAGCCAGAAATCAGTACAAAATAATATATGCTCGTACAACCAAGTATAGGAACTCAACGATACCATATTTGGCCAGCCCGTGTTCTAAGTGACAGAGACAATGTTAAGCGCGGAACCTATGACTTGCTTTGTTGTTAATAACATAATTTTGGCCCTTGTTATTTCCCCCTTATGCTCTCTTAATAATACTCTATAGTGAACAACCTTCTTAAACATACTAAGCTACTTAAAATTATTATCATTGGCTTACTTTTTTATTCTTTATTCTATTCCTTCTTTTGTGTATCTACTGGTCCCGACTATATTAGCGCTATGAGTATTACAAAATTGTCCTGTCATTAACCATCATGTAATATTAGTTTTGTGGTTGTTTTTTGTTCGGCACTATTGAACTGACAATCTTGTTTGTGAACGCCGTTATCACCATCCTAAAATTTTTGTATTATGCATGATTACTCACACTACCACAACAAACACCGCATTAGTGCTGACAATAAAAATAAAATACCCTGAAATGTTTATTTTATGATTGTTTAGTGTAGTTCAATCAAATTAACTGATCATCTTGGCTATGAACATTCTTAATAACATCTCATAACTTCTTGTATGATTATAGCTGTCACTGTTCACCACGCATACACATATCACAGCTTCCACCACCAAATACTGAAATATTTATCATTATTGGTGTTTATCTTCCTTTCTATTTGGTATTTTTGTTTGCATTTTTTGTTATTTTTGTGTTTCTTTGTCGTTTTTTTTTTATATTTATTTTTTGTAATACTCCTTTTAAATGTGCGATGAAATTAGATGCAATATTGTAGATATGTGCTGAAATTTCCACACTGTACCACAAGTACTTTTTCTGGAATAAAAGCAAAATTATATTATTATTATTATTAAACCTGATAGGATAGTGTTTTTTTTGATTGGTTGATTGATGGCTTAATTTTCTGAGAGATTATAATGATGTTATTCAACCAATCAGATTTGTGTATATATGGCTTAAATTCTTAAGGTTGTTTTTTTCATTAATAATGTGATATGCATGAACTGGACATGATAACTTGATTCGGCTGTTTTTTTTTATTCGTTTATGAAGAAAATAAAAGATAATTTATTGAAGAAAATCCTTATTTGTCGACGAAATCATCTTCAGAGGCTCTACAGTCGTATTTATATTAGAGATCAGCTTGGAATTCCAATTTGATTTTGGATGTTTCGCTTTAAGGGGAGATGTGATTGTTTGTTTTCAAAGATCAATCTACAGGAAACCAACCAACACGGAATGGTCAATACACGAATATTCATAGTTCGGTCCCTTTGAGAAGAAAGAGAAATCTAATGCACTCCTTATCCTCGAGAATAAGGAGGATATGTGCCAGTGATATAATCGACGGGAAACTTGATCGACTCGGACAAATCCTCATGGAAAATGGATATCCTCTAGGATTTATCGAGTAAAAACATGAGGCTAAAGCAAAAGCCCGAGAGAATCCAGACAATGCTGAACAAACTGCTATTTATGAACCGCTATTGAGATCCTGAAGAACCACTGCTTATTTGAATCACTGAGAAAAGCCTTCTTTGCGGACGAGCTACAGATCAATGTCTACAGCTGACAAATGATCAATGAATGTGTGAAGGATAATTTGGGCCATTTCAATGTGTGTTTATAAATTCAACTGTTCCTGTGGAGCTAATTATATCGGTCACACAAATTGCACACACACTTTCCAAACACGTCTCTGAACTTTATCAGGCATTGTTGGTTACAAAAGGACAATACAAGACAGTTACTAGTGCTCATTCTCAAACACTTGGTCACTCAAGCCACGCAGCTTCACCAGAGTCGTCTTTCAAGATGATCTACAAGGTGAGACCAAGTGGTACAAATGGCGTCAGGTTCAACATCTGTGTATGGCAAAGGCTTGCAATTCGGCAATACAACTCCGAAATCTGTATAAAGAAAAAGTTTGTCCAGTCTTTTATTCTACCATGGGCTTAACCTTTCCATTGGATGTTCCTTGTAAATTTCTCATTTTATTTTTAGTTTGCTTTCATTTTAAGAATTGGTTCATTATTATCACTCTCACATGTTCATTTTGTACATTTTCAAACCCTGTTCACACTGTTAAATTGACATCAACTACCAGCATTCTCACTACTAATGACAATTATTATTATATCCCTTAATCCCAGAAACATAGGCTTAGCGCGCGTTCCATTCCTTCGGTTCTCTGTAGAGTTTTCACCTGGTCCAAGTCTGCCCACATGTTTCTCTCCTCACATACCTTCTCCAAGTCACCCTCACACTGACGACCAACTCCGTTCCTTTCGGGTTCCACTGAGCATGGCTTGTTAGTATGTCACTTGATGGTTTCCTCAGAGTATGGCCACAATCCACTCCATTTCTTCCTGCCTATTTGTTTCACAGTCGGTTCCTGCTGTGTTGGTTCGCTCATTGACAGAGAACCCTGTTGCTGATCTCTTCTGGCAGGCATTCTGATCTTGAGTATTGAGCGAAGACAACTGTTAATGAAAGTGTGAGTTTGTTTGAGGTGCTCTTTATGACGCACTGGCCAAGTCTCTGATCCGTATGGTTATAGCACGCACTGACTTCACATTGGAGTTGAAAATCCGGATCTTAATTTTGATGCTGAGTAGGGCTGTGACCTCCACACAGACTTGAGAGTAATGAAAGCTTGTCTTGCTTTTCTGATTGTGGCTTTGATATCTGTCATTGGCTGTAGTTAAACGATGCTTCCCAGTAGGTGGTAGGTAAGGAGGTTGTTTCTCAGGTTCCTCCCATTATGCTGGCTGATTGTTGTCTGTTGTTGTTGTGCTGTGGTTGGCAGGAATCTTCATCACCTCTGTTTTCTCTATGTTCACCTGAAGTCATCTTCTTGGATGCTTTTCTCAACTTGTCTTTTCACTTGCATATCTTCCAGTTTGTGTGAAATCAGAATATATATGACATGGTGAAGTCCAGTCCTTCAAGCTTTTGTGTGAGTCCATTTATGCCTGTTTCCTCCCGCGGTTGTCTGTCCATTATCAATCTACTATCAGGAAATCATGGCGAAGAGACAGCCTTGCCTCACTCCGTCTCACGAAGGCTTCCGTAAGTTTCCCGTTATGATACTTGGCATGCGCACTCGATGACAATTTTACCTTATCAAATTTTGCTAACCTATCTTCCTTTGTGCCGTTGAGTACTACGAATTCACAGCCACTATTTTTACATTCAAAGTCACTTGAGGAATTATCAGTTATTTCACATACATCACACACAACACACTTTCTATTACCACTAATGGACTGCTACACATTTTTGGTAACATTTATCCGACTATACAGCCAGCGTGTGAAGAGATGATTTCGTCGATAAAAAAAATTTCTCTGCTGATCTGTCTCTTATTTTTCTTCAAGTGTACATAGGTTCATAGTTCAGAGATATAATTAATGGATTACAATCAGGGATCAATAATAATAATAATAATAATAATAATAAATCCTGGACGATATCCATTCTCTATGAGGATTTGTCTGAGTCACCCCACTTTCCCATCGAATATATTACTTGAACATATCCTGCTTATTCTTGAGGATAAGAGGAGTGTATTAAATTTCTCTTTCTTCTTCTCAAAAAGACCCAACTATGGAAATTTGGTGTACTGAGCATTCCATGTTGGTTGGTTGGTTTCCTGTAGATTGATCTTTGAAGAGAACACCATCAGATCTCCTTTTTAGAAAAAAAAACATTAAAAAATAGAATTCCGAGTTAATCTCTAATTCCAACGTGAATTTTAATGGATGAGATGGAAGCTGTTGAACTTCTTAGTTATCATTTCATGTTGGTATTGTCGTCACATATATGATGAAAGTATCTCATCCATGTATCTTTAGTACAGATGGAAACGATATAGTCCTTCTAGGCGAAGACGCTGACGAAATGCAGAGTCTTCTAAACACCTTGAGCCGCAATCTACGAATGTTTGGCATGCGATTCGCTCTCGCCAAATGCAAGATGATGATACAGGACTGGACTACATCGACGCCTAGTTTAAAAATAGGAAGTGAAGTGGTAGAGCACGTTGACCGCTTCACTTATTTGGGAAGTACCATCAGCCAGTGCCAACGGGTTGATCTCTGACGAAATCTCAGCACGAATACAGGGGCTCGTTTCGCATTTTTAGTTTACGCCGACTCTGGCGTAGACGAGATGTTCGACTATCGACCAAAGGGCGGGTGTACTGCTCATCAGTCCGCTCCGTCCTCCTTTATGGTTGGCTGTGAGACCTGGCCACTGAGAGTGGAAGACATGAAAAGACTAGCTGTCTTTGATCATAGGTGCCTGCGCTCTATTTCCCGTGTAAAGTGGCATAATAAGGTGAGCAACATGGAGGTTAGGCGTAGAGTTCTAGGTAAACAGGGGAAATCAATCGACGAAGTCGTGAAGCTACATCGACTGAGATGGTTAGGACATGTGTTACGTATGCCAAGCCATCGCCTCCCTCGACGAGCTATGTTAGCGGATATAGGGTCAGACTGGAAAAAAGCTAGCGGCGGTCAAACAAAAACTTGGCACCAGTCAATGAAATCCACAACAGTTGGTCTAAGCCACGTAGGAAGGTGTAGACTTCCAGGCTGGAGTCCTCGGGACGGTAAAAATCTATGGTTGGAAACAATTGGTGACATGGCTCAAAATCGTTCTCAGTGGCCAGCGCAGATGCATCCACTCCTGTGACTTATGATCTCCAATGAAACTGTTTTGTTCTTCGTTATTACTCCTTTGTCTCACACCTCTGCTCACTGTTTCTATTATGCTTTTCTTGTACTTTCTTCTCTTGCTTCGCGTGCTACACGGAATGTGGCGACTTGAACTGGCGCACATTTGTGCAAAGTTCTATGTCGAAAACAGACAGACAGATGGAAACTATCGATAGTAGGGGTTGCAGCATTACACTAGTCTTCAAACTTGCCTAGTAAAAAACACATAAACAGTCTCAAACAGGAGTGAAACAATTAACTCACTAACCAACTAGTCAATTTGCTTTCTAATTTTAACTTTAAATTCTTCATACTATTGTATCATAAAAGACTGAGAGACACTTGGTAAAAAAAGTTTATTTGCAATATTTTTTTTTCTCTATTATAGCTAAATTATGCGCATACCTTATCTTCACAATGCCGCCGCATCATTTGCACAGAACATCCGTGTTATTGTACAACTTCTTGCTTTCCTTCATTTGTGTGTTTCTTTCTTTGTGTCCCCCTTTCACATCTCCCATGTTTCTTCCTCCACAAAGCTCTTTCACATTGACTGACTGACTGGTTCCCATAGAACTGCTTTGCACGATGTGACCAGTTCGAGTCGCCCACTCCTAGCAAGGAAAAGATAAAAAAAATGCAAAACCAAGACAGTATACAGAGATATGAGGTAAAAGAATAGTAATAACGAGGAACAATACAGTTTTATGGAAATTTATGTATTGAGAAAATGAGTTTTGAGTCATTCAACTTCAGGACCCCAACCAACCAACTATTCAGGAAGTCAACACCTTCCTACTGACTAAAACTAACTGTTGTGGATTCCATTGACTGGATGGATGACCACTACTAGCTTTCTCTTTTCCAACCTGACCCTAAGTCAGTCAGTTAACATTTCTCATTGCTGAGGAAGGCGATAACTAGGCATGCATACGTACACAGTCCTAACCTTCTCAGTCGACGTAGCTTCACTGCAGCCTCACCTCAATAGTGCTCATCTTAATAATACGCCACCTAACACTGGGATAGAACGCAGGCACCTATCATCAAAGACAGCCAGCTAGTTTTTCATGTCTTCCACTCTCAATGGCCATGTCTCACAGCCAGTCATAAAGGAGGACGAAAAAACTGCTGAGCGTACACACGTCCTTTGATCACAACAGACAGATGTCTCATATATACTCAACAAACCAGAGATAGAGTAAGTTGGCATATAGCAAACGACTCTTCTGTATACATGCTGAGGTTTCGTCAGCGATCAATTGAGAGGAGGATTCTGAGCCCTATATTACCGATTGTCTCCAGTAATCAATGGTGTTTTTACCGTCCAGAGGACCCGAACCAGCCAGGAATCTATACACTCCTTACGTGGTCGGCTTAAACTAACTGTTGTGGATTTCATTGACTGATGAAGCCATGCTTTAGTTTGATCACCACTGCTTTTCTAATCCTAGGTAAAATTGCCCATTGTCGGGAAGGTGATGGATGGCTAGGCATGCATAATTGCTTCTGACATCATCTATCTCCCAGCTGTTTGATGTTTATTATGCCCGCCGATGAATATCTCTTTTTGTGTATATATGTGGTGAGAGCAGGTTGATAGCCAAACCGGTAGACATTTTTACGTCAATTTATGTCGCAATATTGATCGTGAGAAATGTGAACAAGCTGATTCCAATCAAGCAGACTTGGCGTAGACAGGTACAGTTAACATATAGATGACCTGACATAAAAAATCTGAATAATGCATTAAGAAGACGAATTTCGCCACGAGATGATGTCCCATTTCGTAGTTTCTTTACAACCGCTTTAAACTAACATGGTTAACAATACCAAAAAAAGATCATGACAATTACTCAGTTAAATAAAAAACAAAAGTACATACTAATGACCAATCATATTTAAATAGGTCATGTTGTCAGTCCATGGAAGGCGAAGATTGAAGTCTATTGATTTTTGTACACACAGTTTAGGCTGTATGTGATTAATCCCCCAAAGTGCTTCCATCACCTTTAATAACCAACCTTGAATCAGAGTTATGTGATGAAATAATTGTGAAACAGTCATTAATATTGATTGATTGTGTGACCTGACATTAATAAGTGTTTTGCGATGGATCTTACAGAAATGCTAGACACCTTGAACATTAAGGAAAAGGTTATGTGTTCAATTTACATAGAATCTGTATTCACCAATGTTCCCCTTCATGAAACTGTTAATTTCATTTGCCATTACATCACAACGAATGAGATAAACTGACCTATTCCTGTAACTTTCATCAGAGACATCATCTTAATGTGTACAGAAAATATTAGATTCACCTTCCGAGAAAAGGCATGCAAACAAGTCGATGGTGTTGCGATGAGGAGCCCTCTGGGGCCCCTATTAACAGATATATTCATGTCGAAATTAGAGAAACAAATGCAAGGTATACTTGGAGAATTTATGCTGTATAAGCGTTATGTAGATGATACTCTCATTATTGGTAATAATAGTAAATCTATCGAAAACTTTATCACCCTATTTAATCATATTCATCCAAATATACGAGTGACTTCTGAACTAGAATCGAATAACAAATTCGGTTTCCTGGATATTACAATGACCAGGAGAGATGATGGAACCATTCAGCGATCTATTTTTCGGAAACAGACATGGAGTGGACAATATCTACATTTTACCAGTTTTGTTTCTATCCAGTATAAACGTTCCCTAGTGAAATGTTTTTTCTCAAGGGCCCGAAAAATATGCACGAGTGACACATTGATGGATGACATTCAGTTTTATTAGCTAATGTTTATCCAGAAAACTTCAATTGTCACGGTAAGGATAGACCATATCTAGAAAAGCCAGCTTCTGTACCAAAGAAAGGTATCTTTATTAACCTACTATTCAAGGGCGACCAGATTATGCAGTTGACAGCTAGCTCAAAGACTTCGGTCAGCCATCAAACGCACATTCTACGCCACCGAATCTCTTTTTCTCACTTGCCGAACATTTTTGATCCCTGTTCCTACGATTAAAGGACGAAATTCTGTGGACACTACTTCAGACTGTATCTACAAGTTCACCTGCAACTGCGGTGACACCGATATAGGTAGAACAAACTGAATGTTCCAATGTGGTCATAGAAAAGAACATGTTCCAAAATGGTTATTAAATCATATCGAAAATCCCAACGCGATTAATCTGAATAGAAATCCAGCATCATCTATTGCAAGGCACTTATTAATGTCAGGTCACACAATCAATCAATATTAATGACTGTTTCACAATTATTTCATCACATAACTCTGATTCAAGGTTGGTTATTAAAGGTGATGGAAGCACTTTGGGGGATTAATCACATACAGCCTAAACTGTGTGTACAAAAATCAATAGACTTCAATCTTCGCCTTCCATGGACTGACAACATGACCTATTTAAATATGATTGGTCATTAGTATGTACTTTTGTTTTTTATTTAACTGAGTAATTGTCATGATCTTTATTTTGGTATTGTTAACCATGTTAGTTGTAAAGCGGTTGTAAAGAAACTACGAAATGGTGACATCATCATGTCGTGGCGAAATTTGTGTTTCTTAATGCATTATTCAAATTTATCAAAGGAACTAATTGTATTAATTCAAGAAACAGTCACAAAGAGATGCAAGGTCAACTTTCTCTGAGAAACAACCAATCAGAAGGCTGTGTTTGTCTGCTTGAATAAGCTATACTAATAATGTACATGAAAATGTATAAATACGTGTTGATTTCCTGAATCAACGATCTGTTGCCCTGCCCTTGTCTTGTGTTGTTACATATATACTACTGATAAATCTTTTTAGTAGTACACGCCACACTGCATACTCTTTTCTTTTCCTTCTCGTTGCCTTCAGTTTAGCGAATCAAATTGTCAAGAAACGGGGAAAAAAAAGCAGCAGCAGCAGACAAATGTAAACTTCCAAAAATCTATCAACGTCTACTCTCTGTTTTATATAAACAGTCATTGAAGAAAATTTCTACTAACACTACTTCTACTACTTCTAAATCATATCAGTATACAGAAGACTTTATCGAATTTCCATTCATGTCAATGTATAATAAGCTAAAAAGTAATAATAATTATTGTTATAATTTATCGCAGTTAATGTCAATTGTCCCAATAATAGACAGTTCGTTAACAAATACTAAAGATAAATTGTATAAAATATTATCAGTTAATGAATGTATCAGTTATGTGCATTCTATTCATTCTGGAGAAATCATCAACTTCGGCACTGCAACGACGGTAACGTCGTCAGCATCATCATCATCAGAGGAAAAGAAATGCCAGTATCAGTATTCATGGAATGTTGAAATACATAAGAAAATGTAAGTTTTTGTGTTTTATCCCTCTCCCCTTTTTTCTCTTATTCAGACAACGTTTCTAGGGTCAACTTTAGTTGTGATTTTCAAACTTTTTTCCGAGTTGATCACGGATTGATATCAGTTAGAGAACCATTGAAAACCACCAGGGAGTACTGGACAGTCAGCTGTTTCATCCTAGTTTGGGAATCATCTTCAGTACGCACCCACTGCCACGCCATGGTTCGAACCAGCTCATATACCATTCAGCCACTGGAACCCGATTCATCAATGGCTCATGAATTCTAACTTCTGCCAATTCCTGATTTAGCGCGACTCCAACCATTGTAGTTGGTGGAGCATCCATCGTCAAACATGACGTCTAATTGGACTTCACTAGTCACAACTTCTCACTAGAACTGATTCTAGGAAACTTCATCCTTTAGAAAGTCACTGGTGACCATCAGATTAATTTTCTATAGTTTGGTTTGTAAGGGTTACTTATGTTTGTTGCGAGTCGATCACGGATTGATAATGGTTGGAGTCGCGCTAAATTATGATTTGGTAGAAGTTAGAACTCATGAGCTATTGAATCAAGTCCCAGTGGCTGAATATGGTATACGAGCCAGCTAGCTTGCCTTGTAACCGGAAGGTCCTGGGTTCGAAACCTGGCGTGGCGCGGTGGGTGGTTGCGTACTGACGACGATTCCGAAACCAGGATGAAACAGCTGGCTGTCAAATACTCCCTGTGGCTTGTTTACAATGGTTCTCTAACTGATATCAATCTGTGGTCAAACTCGTAAAAACAAAACTAACTCTTACAAACCAGCTATAGAAAATTTTCAAAATTGTTTATTGCATGGAGGATTTAATCATGAGCTGGCATCAGTTAGAGAACTACTGGAAAACCTGAAGGGAGTACTGGACAGCTGTTTCGTCCTAGTTTGGGACTCTTCATCAGTACGCACCCACCGCAAAGGTTCGAACCCAGGACCTTCTGGTTACAAAATCCCTACAAAACCAATACTTGAAAATTGTTTATATTTTTTTTATAATAATTTTTAATATAATTATAACAGCTTTATTCCAAACAGTATTTGTGGTACAGGTATGGAATTTTCAGCGTGCATTACAATATACTGCATCTGATTACCTCATAAATTATATAAGATTTTAAAATCAAAAAGCAACACCCAAAAGAAAAGAAGATAAATTTAAAAAATAAAAGAACAGCGTTGCGTTTACATTTCAAACAATGCACCACACAGGATATGAAGTATAAAATTAGCGTGTAATAGAAGATGAGAACAACGGTGTAATAGTAACGATGAAAAAGGAAAACAAAAACTAATGGGACTATTTGTTAGAGTACCGCAATAAGTTGATCGTGTCATATCTAACGGATTTCTCATCACCACATAACAGCTGTGCCAGCCATGGTATTGTGGAGTTTTTGTACTTGGTAGTCCTAGCATATAGCCAGCCAGCCTCCTTTAGCTGCTTCTAGTTCTACCAGATGAAATGCAAGGAGACAGCTGCGTATAGAGAGGATGCTCGGTTCGGGGTCTGACAACATTATATTCGCTAGTTTCTTACATAACATTTTATGTCTATCTACAATAGTGTTAACCAGTTGGTTTAACGACATCGCACTTGCCGTACTAACGGGTTTTAGTGCCCTTCTGAGCAAAGCAAAGTCTTTCTTAAGTAGTCCAAGAAAGATTAATGGGGAGCAGTAAAGGGGGATAGGTAGAATACAAGAATTTACAAACTGAGAAAGCAAAGACTGCCCTATGCCAGACTGCCTAAATTTCCTAATGTAGAACGTTAAGCGAAACATCTTTCTAGTAAATAGCAAGATGTGGAAGACCAGGAAAGATCGGTGGAAAAACTCAGCCTGAGGTACTTGACATTAGATGTATTTTCAACCTCTGTGCCATCAATAATAGTGGGGCCATGTGAGCTAACTAGTTGTCGTCGGTCACATTTACGTCTGAAACCGAAATTGACTACCTGACATTTAGACGGATTAAGCTTGAGTCTGTTTGAAGAGGACCACTGACTAATTTCCGGCAGAAAGTTATTTAATTTGAAACAATCTGACTGAGAGTTGACAGGCATAGAAACCGAGAGGTCATCGGCATACTTAACAAAAGTGGCTACATCAGAATGAGGCAAGTCATGTAAGAAAAAAGAAAACAGAAAGGGAGAAAGAACAGCACCTTGAGGAACATCAGCTAAAGTAAGTGAGGTAGTTGAGGACTTTCCATTGTAGACGGTGTACTGCTTCCTATCAGAAAAATAGGAATGCAACCACTTATTTGTCCAGCTCTCAGCCAGTGTTGCAGCAAGCTTACTTAGCAAGAGAGACCTGGGAACAGAGTCAAATGCAGATGTGTAATCAAGGAAGGCACAGCGAACGTATTTACCTCCTTTATCTAAACTAGAGACCATACTATGATGTAGGACAACGGCTGCATTTTACATTCTTTTACGTTCCGAGTTGAGGGAGCCTTCTGCAACTGCCTTGAAAGAACTAATGTTTCTCTTTCTGAGATTCGATTCCGGGTCACCTAGTTGTGCTTGTAATCGGAGATTTTACCAATGAGGAGCTATTCGGGCTCTTCATTTGTGATGAAGAAAGCTTTTGGTGTATGCGTGTTTTTGTGCGTTAGCTGATATTTATAGTAGATTCTTTAGATATGATGGTTAAGATTTGTAGCTCGAGTGGAGGATTTTGATGTGGTTATGTTCTCTGAGCTAGCTGGATGGTAGTTCATTTGCGAAGCTTTCATAGCCTCCCCACTAGACAACGTTTCCTTGACATGATGTTTGACTGTATGCAGTGATATGAGTGGGTAGATGTCACGTCTTTTGACTGCTAGTTTATGATCATGGATACAAAGACAGACATCAATTCGATTAGGACAACCTGAGTTCAAATATTCAACAGAGGAAACACCAAGAATGCTAGAGAATTTTTAGAAGCCCGCCTGGTATTCCAGTGAATCGTCAATCAATAGATACATTGACATACAAAAAATTTACCAATCAACAAGAAAGAAATCCCACACACTAAGGGTCAAACTTCAGGTCATGGAATTAACCAACACCATTAGAAATACAAATAGGCTAGAGGGTGCGAAAACACTCAGAAACAACTAATCACATTCAAGTTCACTCATCGAGAAAGTTGACTAATAAACTCGTGGAGAAATCTGAAAGCTCAATTCATCAAAATTGAAGTATCCACTGAAGATGTTGTCTGGTGGGGAGGGGGTAGCAATGAAAGCTTTGCGAATAAACCATCCTACTCAAAGAACACAACCACACCAAATAGTAAATGACTGATGAACCCTGAAAATCCCTAATCGATTCTATTGAAATATTTTAGCGATGGAATCACAATCCGTCTGCAAGGCGGCAGGGCCAGAGGGAATCGCCCCCGAGGCTCTGAAAAAAGACCCAGAGACTGTGGTAGATGTCTGTCTGTTTTTGACATAGAACTTTGCACCTATGTGCACCAGTTCAAGTCGCCACACTCCCTCCTTGTAGCACACAAAGCAAGAGAAGAAAGTACAAGAAATACATAATAGAAACAGTAAACAGAGGTGTGAGACAAAGGAATAGTAATAACGAAGAACAATATAGTTTCATTGGAAATCATAAATCACAAGGGGTGGTTGCATCTACGCTATGCATTGAGAACGAGGATTTTGAGCCGTGTCACCAAGTGTTTCCAACCATTTGTTTTTACCGTCCCGAAGACCCCAACGAGTAACGAAGTCTTCACTTTCCTACGTGACTGGCTGGCATAAACTAACTGTTGTGGATTTCATTGACTGGTGAAGCCATATTTTGGCTTGACCGCCCCTATGTCAGCTAGCATTGCCCGTCGTCGAGGAAGGCAATGACTAGGTTAACATGCGTGACACATGTTCTAAACTTCTCAGTTGTTGTAATTTCACAGCCTCATATATTGATTTCCTCTCCTTACCTAGCACTCGACGCCTAAACTCAATATTATTGCTCACTTTATAATAATAAGCCACCTAACACTGGAGATAGAGCTCAGGCACCTATGATCAAAGACATCTAGTCTTCTCATGTCTTCCACTCTGAATGGCCAGGTCTAGCTCACAGCCATAAAGGAGGACGGAGCGGACTGATGAGCAGTACACCCGCCCTTTGGTCGATAGTCGAACATCTCGTCTACGCCAGAGGCGGCGTAAACTGGCAAATGCGAAACGAACCCCCTGTATCCTTGATGAGATTTCGTCAGAGATCAACCCATTGGCACTGGCTGATAGTACTTCCCAAATAAGTGAAGCGGTCAACGTGCTCTACCACTTCACTCCCTATTTCTAATCTAGGAGTCGCTGCAGAAAAAGGGGATAATGGGCATCCTTGACGGACACCACTAGTTGTCACTAATTCAGATGACAACTCGCCGTAAGCTCTCACCTGGCTGTATGAGTACGAGTAGAGTGCCTTAATCAGTGCAATGTATTTTCTCGTCATTCCCTTTACAGCCAAGCATCTCCAGAGAACTTCTCGATCGACAGAATCGAATTTCGCCTTTGGGTCAAGGAATATAGTGATTGTTGGGCGCCGGGAGGAATTCCTATGTTCTAGAATCTGTCGGAGGGTGAAGATATGATCAATACACCCTCTTCCTGGTCTAAAGTCTGCCTGGCTCTCTCGTGTTTGTGCTTCCCGAGCACCACTCAGTCTACGCATGATTATTGAGCCTAAGACTTTAGATACTATATTAGTCAAGCTAATCCCTGTGTGATTATCACAGGGAGACTGTTCTCGCTTCTTGTATATGGGGATAATCAGTGACTTACACCAACCCGATGGGACTTCTTCCGATTCCCAGACGCTGCCTAGAACCTCAGTTAATGCAGACAGTAAACTGTTTCCACCGTACTTAAATACCTCTGGAGTCATTCCATCAGGTCCCGCTGCTTTGCCTAGTTTCAGATTGGTGACAGCTTTAGAAACCTCAGTTAGGGATGGAGGACCTGTGTTTATATCCCATTCAGGGAGGTGTTGAATGTTCGGCAGGTTGAGTGTGGCTGTGGGCCAATTAAACTGCTTCTCATAGTGCGCTTTCCAGCGTTCCAGTCGTCTATCCTGGGAGCTTATTATGATGTCGTTTTTCTCCGAGATTGTTTACTTATCATTTGCCTTTTCCCACCTGTTTCCCTGATAAGCCTAAATAGTTGTCTGGTGTTACCAATCACTGATGCCTTTTCCATCTCTTTTACTTTTGTCACCCACCACTGTTCACGGTCGTTGCGAAGACTTCTTGTTAGTTTTCGTTTGAGTAGCTTTCGCTCCTTATTGAATTCGGAGCTCGCTGGAATCAGTCTTCTTGCGTCAATCAGTTGTAATGAGGCGGTAGCGATCCAATAGCTCTTACTAGTGGCAGATATGCTCACGTGATTAGTGTATAAGGTATGGAAAGATGAAAAGGTGCCTGCCGATTGGAAGAATAGCTGGCCACCTTATCACGCTACCAGAGTAGGGTAATTTACGCCTCACTCAGTAAGAACTGACGTAGATTATTGCTCTTGTCCATGACAAGTAAAATTCTGTGTCGTGTCATCCTGTAAAGAATAAAAGATACACTCTGCTAGACCTCAACAAGCTGGATTCAGGAATGCCAGATCATGTGCTGATTAGATTGCAACTGTACTCATCATCACCACCATCGTGGGTGTATACTACTGAAAAGACCCAAACCAGTCTGACGAAATAGCTGACTGTCCAGTATTCCAATGGTTCTCTAACTGATGTCAGCTCACGATGAAATTCTCCAACCAAATTATTATTAATATTATTATGTTTTCTGAAATGAATCATAGCGATAGGTTGAAACCTTTATTTGAAAATGTGCCTCCGAGTATAAGATCGCCCTAGAATTTAAAAAACCCGCCGAAGAAGTTTGTAACCGAACTATTGTTAATTTTTTCTCGTGTGTAATAGCCCATTTCTGCTTGCTTTAACTTTTTTCAGATTAACGTTCACCGTTGACAATAAAACAACTGAACACCATCATGTATTGAAACGTTTAACTTCTGGCAATAAAACAATTAATTTCAACCAGTCAAATAATCTGATGGTGAAATATTTCACATCATTTCTGATTGGTTCAATTTTATGGAACCACAATGATGGTTGTTTTCATATTCACGGAATAGAACGTGTTATTTCCTCCAACTTATTTCCTACTACTAAATATTCTGAAAGTAGTCAGGGAAATTATTATAAAGAAAATATCTCTCTTCCCATAATTCTTGATATGGATACTACAAGTGGAATGCTTTCATTGAATATGCTAACAGATCATAGTATAGTATTATTGAAAGATGTACAAGTGATTATTGATGAAGGATACTCTCCCATAGAACTGTGTCGAAATCAGTGAGTTCTTCTCCGAGTGTGTTTATTAATGTTGATGTTCGTGGAAAAACCCCGTTTGGGATTATTAATATTATTGTTGTTATTATTATTATTATATCCTTTAATTCCTAGAGGAACATAGGGCTTTAGCTGCGCGTCTCCATCGCCTTCGGTTTTCTCCTAACTTTTTCACCCCGCTCCAAGTCTGCCGCCCACATGCTTTCATCTCCTCTTCACATCACCTCCTCCAAGTCACCCCACCCTCGCATTGACGACCAACTCGGCGCCCGCTTCCCTTTCGGGTTCCGATCGAGCAATCGCTTGTCTAGTTATGTCACTCACTTGATGGTTTCCTCAGAGTATGGCCAGCCAATCCACCTCCATTTCTTCCTGCCTATTTGTTTCACAATCGGTTCCTGTTGTGTTGGTTCGCTCATTGACATAGAACCCTGTTGCTGATCTCTTCTGGCAGGCATTCTGATCTTGAGTATTGAGCGAAGACAACTGTTAATGAAGGTGTGTAGTTTGTTTGAGGTGCTCTTTATGACGCGCTGGCCAAGTCTTTGATCCGTACAGCGAGTAGCACTGACTGACTTCACATTGGAGTTGAAAATCCGGATCTGATTTTCATTTTGATGCTGAGTAGGGCTGTTGACCTCCACACAGACTTGGTGAGAGTAATGAAAGCTTGTCTTGCTTTTCCGATTCTCGCTGCTCTGATATCCCCGTCAGTTCTGCGTGTAGTTGAAACGATGCTTCTCAGGTAGATAGGTGAAGGAGGTTGTTTCTTTCAGGTTCCTCCCACTTATGTTGGCTGATTGTTGTCTGTTTTTGTTGTTGTGGCTATTGCTGTTGGTCAGGAATCTTCATCACCTCTATTTTATCTATGTCCACCTTAAGTCCTATTTGGGATATATAGGGAAAATCAGAAAAGGAGAAGTGATTCATCGTAGAGACTCTTTTCAGTAACGAATTTATTATCATGCTGTACAATCGTATATATATATATCAGTATATCGTTTTTTGTGTTAGAGGAAGTACATCCCATGAAGAAATTTGAACAAAGGTGTGTGCGCCGGTGGCACAGCGGTTATGACTCTCGTCGACCACCATCCAAATAGTCCGGGGTTCGATTCCCTGTCGACGTGTACACCTGATATCGATGCTTGTCCTCCTAAATTTGGGCTACCGGTATCACATACCAAAAATTCCATACATGTACCAAAAATACGCTGTGGAATCAAGTTTTAAAAAAGAAATGATAATAATAGGATGAAATGAAATTAAAATATTTACGATTATAATCATAGTTAAATGTCAAGTGTCCAGTGGAAAAACAATTTTTTTCTTCAAGTTCCCTAGTGGAACACAGGGCTTCAAGCTAGTGGCTTGAAGTTTCTGTAGCAGTATTTAGTTTTACAGGATGGGTTCGCTAGCCTCATGCCCAACCCTTCCTCTTTACCAGCATTATGTCTGGCTTAGAGAGGTAAATGAGTGCGTTGGCGGCCGGGGATCGAACCACGGACCATGTGCATGGTCGGCGAGTGTCCTAACCGCCATACCACCGAGGCACACAAGCCGTGTGCGCCGGCCGGGGAAACAATTAATGTCATACATAGAATAATTCATAAAATGAATGTATAGGTGTTGGAAACGGGTGTATTAGGTGTATAGGGTAAGTAGACTAGAGTCTGTCTGTCTGTTTTCGACATAGAACTTTGCACAAATGTGCGGAAGTTCAAGTCGCCACATTCCGTGTAGCACGCGAAGCAAGAGAAGAAAGTACAAGAAAAGCATAATAGAAACAGTGAGCAGAGGTATGAGACAGAGGAATAGTAGTAACGAAGAACAAAACAGTTTCATCGGAAATCATAAGTCACAAGGAGTGGATGCATCTGCGCCACCCAGCCACTGTGAACGATTTTGAGCCATGTCACCAATTGTTTCCAACCATAGATTTTTGCCGTCCCGAGGACCCCAGCCTGGAAGTCTACACCTTTCTACGTGGCTTAAACCTACTGTTGTGGATTTCATTGACTGGTAAGGCCAAGTTTTTGTTTGACCGCCGCTAGCTTTTTTCCAGCCTGACCCTATATCCGCTAACATTGCTCGTCGAGGGAGGCGATGACTTGGCATACGTAACACATGTCCTAACCATCTCAGTCTTTGTAGCTTCACGACTTCGTCGATTGATTTCCCCTGTTTACCTAGAACACTACGCCTAACCTCAATATTGCTCACCTTATTACACGTACCACTTTACACGGGAAATAGAACGCAGGCACCTATGATCAAAGGCAGCTAGCCTTTTCATGTCTTCCACTCTCAGTGGCCAGGTCTCACAACCATAAAGGAGGACGGAGCGGACTGATGAGCAGTACACCCGCCCTTTGGTCGATAGTCGAACATCTAAGTAGACTAGAGTATAAAACGTTACATAACATGGTATGAAATTTGATAAGATTGAATTTAACATTGTGAAAAAATTTTATGATTTTGAATAACAAGCGGGACATTCATTCTAATAATAAAGGTTTTATTTGTATTTCTAAATGAATGAAAAACAAAACGATATTGTCTTTACTGACGTTTTAAACCGGTGGTATAGCGGTTATGACTCTCGTCGACCACCATGCAAATGGTCCGAGGTTCGGTCCCTTGCCGACGCACACATGATGATATCAATGGTCAGTCAGCCTGTAGAATTTGGGCTACCGATATCACATACTGAAAATTTCATACTTGTACCAAAAAAATACGGTGTAGAATCAAGCTGTAAATCAAAAAAATAATGCTAGCGGGACAAGTGAAATAATGATGATAATAATAATTTCAGAAACAGTTCAAATTAAGAGTAATAATATTAATTTGGTCATTTGGCAACAAATTCGCTACTACAGGGTGCCATCGACAATTATACATCTCATCCAACAGTTATACGACAATGTTGCATTCCAAGTAATCCTCAACGGGAAACTTACGGAAGACTTCGAAGTGAGGACGGGAGTAAAGCATGACTGCCTACTATCGCCATTGATTTTGCTGATTGCAGTAGATTGGATAATGCAACAGACAGCGGCGGGAAATGAGGAAACAGGCATAAAATGGACTCACACAATAGACTTGGAGGATCTGGACTTCGCCCGTGATGATATATGTCTGATTTCCCACAAACAGGAGGATATGCAAGTGATAAAAAGCAACAAGTTGGCGGTAGAAGTAGCATCCAGGAAGATAGGACTTCAAGTGAACACAGAGGAAACAGAGGTAGGTGATGAGGATTCCTGGCCAACACCAAGAGCAACAACAACAGACAACAATCAGCCAGCATAAATGGGAGGAACCTGAAAGAAACAACCTCCTTCACCTATCTACCTGAGAAGCATCGTTTCAACTACACGCAGAACTGACGGGGATATCCGAGCAGCGAGAATCGGAAAAGCAAGACAAGCTTTCATTACTCTCACCGAGTCTGTGTGGAGGTCAACAGCCCTACTCAGCATCAAAATGAAAATCAGATCCGGATTTTCAACTCCAATGTGAAGTCAGTCAGTGCTACTCGCTGTACGGATCAAAGACTTGGCCAGCGCGTCATAAAGAGCACCTCAAACAAACTACACACCTTCATTAACAGTTGTCTTCGCTCAATACTCAAGATCAGAATGCCTGCCAGAAGAGATCAGCAACAGGGTTCTATGTCAATGAGCGAACCAACACAACAGGAACCGATTGTGAAACAAATAGGCAGGAAGAAATGGAGGTGGATTGGCTGGCCATACTCTGAGGAAACCATCAAGTGAGTGATATAAGGATGCGCCACACAATAATAATAAAACAACATAGACCAAAAAAGAAAAAAAGAAAGAAGAGAAAAAGGTGTATATATAAGTAGAGAACGGATAAAGAACTTCATCTGGAAGGAAAACAGTCATACTACTTAACAAGTTCAAATAGTATTCGTTAACTATCATCGGGAAGGGAAGAAAGAAGGAAATTGCAACACGTGTAATAGCACGCGATAACTTTCATTGATTGTTTGTTGCTTCATTCAATTCAATTGTGTGAGGGCTGAGATATTGCCGGGGTGCCCAGACCGAAGAAGGTGGTTTTATCAAGGGACCACCCCCACCCGAGCCTTTGACTTGGAGTCTAATCCGAAAAGAACAGCGTCAGGAGCTGCATTTCCATGGTTTCGGGTGACCCATATGGGTTCATACGCCATCTGATCCGACTGGATGATACTGGAGCCCATGTACCCCATGGTAACTGCTTTTAGTTTAACCGCTATCCAAACAACCTTCCTGACATGGTAGGACCTGCAGGGACAGAGTTCCAGTCAGTTTATTTTTTTTTAAATAATAAAAAAATAATAATAAAAAAAAAATAACAGTTATCGGCCGGAAAAAATGTACATAAAAATCTATAAATATCTGTTGATTTTTTCAATAAACGATCTGTTGCCTGGCGCCCTTGTCTTCTGTCGTTACAGAAGTACCAAGTATCAAGTCTTCTATCGTTACAACAGTAACAATCAAGATAATAAGGGAAGGATATAAAAAATTGAATTAACCAAACGAAAAATAAGTATGCGTGAGTGGTGGTTATCATAATTTAGGCGTAGACGGATTAAGACCATGAGAGTTGGAGGGATTGAACAAGCTTTTTCTGTATACAGAGATTTCAGGACATTCCCTACGGTATCGTTGAGAATAGTATTTTCTAGTCAGCCATTACTGTTCAATAACCTGAAGGACAAGATCCCGCATTTGATCAACTCTGTATGCGTTTACTAATGCCACTGCCCGTGTGGAAATCTAGACATGTCAGTCTTTTGACTGGGATTTTGTTCAAGAATGTGGAAGGATACCATTCCCACCAGGGTTACGAAGAGGTGAAAGTGAAGCGCAATCATTGAACATCTGGTCGATGCTTATCATCCTATTTCGACAGCCTCAACCTTTAAAGTCATCTACAAGGCGAATAATAATTTACCCAAATCATTACATACTATACAAGTCATT